TGTTCTTGCAGATGAGCACAAGTGTTAGTGAAAGATAAAAAAGACAGAGGAAAAAAAAAAAGAAAAACACCACACTTCTAAATGGTATTTTTCTATATAATTTGAAAAACATTTAGATTTTCTACATGGGAGGGCTAACAGTAATATTCTTCCCGAGGCCCCCCACGTGCATGAACTATATATTTAAGTCTTCAGGTTCGTCCCCAGCAGTAAACTGGAAAATACAAAAGTTCAGGGTCTTTCTCTTTCCCAGACTTGCTTTCCTTAAGGCTGTGTTTGGCTGGAGACCTTTAGTACAAGCAGCCTGCCAGCAGTAACTCCAACTCCTGCCTTCCTGATCTCGCTCTCTGCATCTCTTTCTAACATGTACGCTCGAGGAAGATGAGAATGATATCCTCAGGAGCCCTGCCTTACAGATAAGCAGCACGCACTGGGTGGCCGTTGTAGTGACCACGAAGTATTATATGGATGGGAAAGAGCAGCTCACATGGACGCGGCTGGCTGAACGTCTCGAAGCTGAGCTCTGTCTCTGAGCTCGTATTTACCTATTTGCTGGTGTTCACGTAGGCAAAGGAGGCTCAGAAATGGTCTAAACAGAGGACTCTCTTCTTTCTCTTCTTTAGCTGGTTGAGCACTGCTATAAATATTCCATTAGTGTGTCTAGGAAAACAAGAAGAATAACTCCTTGTCTGAAAATTTCAGTCCCAGTTTTTCCACAAGTAATTTTCATCTGTTGGGAGAAAAACTTTTGATCTTTACCTTGTGGAAGATAGAAAAGTCAGTTCCTTTGCTTTATTTTTCTCTCTTTCTAAATGAAAACCTCATCTGAGACAAGAAGGAGATGATGGTCCTGGTATTGCCAAAAGTTCTTTTATGTCATTGTCTGCATTCTGTGTGATTGAGGGGTTATTGGCAATGAAAAACCAACTGTTAAGACTAATGATCATATCTATGACTCACACGTTTTCCATACTGAAAATTACCTTTGGCAGCAATTTTCTTATGCAAAATATAGAACGTCCTTTTATATTAAAAAAAAAAAAAGGCAGAGGCGAATATGCACAGTTGAAAATCATTATCTGGTATGTTTATTTTTTTAGAAATATTTTCTCTTGTAATTTAAGAGCTATTTGGTAAGCTGCACTTAAAAAAAATCCCAAAATATAATAATATCTGTAGGTTGAATGCATTTTAAATTTTTTACTAAGTTATGTCCAAGAATAGGCAAACTGCAGAACCAGTCTCTCCAAGTTCTAATGCTTATGGGAAAAGGAATATGTGAATACAAATGGAAAGTACTGAAGCCTATACAACAACCCTGGGTTTCTGAAGCACTCCCCCTGACCTCTCTTAATATTTTCTTTCCATCTTCTTCATGAGTATAGTACTGGCAGCATTCATAGAAAGAATTGCTTCATTTGGGATCTAAGTGAATATCAGAAGCTTTCCTCCTCCTTCTTTGTGGATTTTGTTTTCTGTATTTTAGTACATAAGTAATGATTACAGTTGGTTCATCTTCATCTACAGATTGAAAAGAGAACTTAGAATAGTCCAGTGTGAGGATACACGAGGCTGTAATAAGTTTTAATGATTTCTTCTGATGGATTTTGTCAGACTGGCCCAGTATTTTGACTTTACAGAGAATTACTTTTTAAATTTTGTGTCTATTCAGCAGGTTTCTTATTGTTGTCTCTTTAAAAATAAATAACGTCTGAAAACAGAGACTAGACCATCTCAGAGGAAGGTTACTAGGAAGCACATTTCTTGCAGATAGCTGTTTCTCCTGTGTACAAATTGGAGTCTAAGACAATCCTGTGAAACTCTCCTTTTTCAGCCCCTTTTGTATTGCTCCCAGTTGTTATTTTCTTTTTCTCCCAGATAAGTAACCACTCAAGTTTCACAGCATCAACTCTGAAAAAATTCCGCCTCGTAATGCCTCATTGTCAAAATGTGTCAGCAAATTCTGTAGCTGTTCTTGTTCCGTGTAGAACGTGGGCCAGAACTGTAGCTTCGTAGTTTGCATTTATGACGTTTTCAAAGGCAAGGTGACCTCATCCTCCCCATGCTGACTGCTCTTGAAAGCATCATTCTTCAGGAGTTACAAATGAAACACAACAATTTCCTTCTCCTTTAAGACTGAAAAAGAATGGAGGGAGTTTTACTGGAGTCTTTGTGTTAGTAGATACAGAACACAGAAATAATCTTTTATCCAACACTAATGATTCCTGGTAATAGACAAGAAACTTCATTCAGTTATTTTCAAACTTGACGTAGAGTTCCTCCTCAGGCAGGTGAACCACTCAGAAAGGTTACCTGGTGGTTGTAGATCTGTTGAGCTGGGTTGTACATTTCCAAATGTTTATTTCAGCTGCTCTCCACCACTGTGTTTTCTGTGTGACTCGATTTTCTGTCCAAACTGCCTTATAGATTCTTGGAGTCCTTACAGCGTGAGAACAGTTCATCTCCAGTTGATGGACAATTTGGTAGCTGTGGCTTGTTGCAGAGGTTTTCCTTGTGTACGTGGTGCCTGGTTTTGCCATGGTACTGCATAGCCAGGGGAATAGGTGTCGGTAACAGGGGGTGTTTAGTTAGTGGCTACTCCCAAAACAACTGTGAAGGTGGATTTTTCCTGTCAATAATCCACTCTGAAAAGTTATTTCTTAGAGAGGAGCCTGTGTTTTCATGGATGTTTCTTTAGGGATAAATTTGAAAAAAAAGAAAAATAAAAAGTTTATGCATTGAAGTAAGCAAGTTTGAACATTTATTGATGCATTGAAGAGGGGATAAATCTGCTGGTGGGTTGCATAAAAGTATTTCCTTACCCTAAATTTGCTTAAATTACCTACATGCCATCTGGCACACTCTCTAGATGTCTTCCTTGAGAATGAGTATTATTTAAAAAAAAAAAAAAAGACGGGGGGGGACTTCCCCAGACCTCTTCCTTATTTCATGCCAATTTCTAGTGCTAAGACTCTTTTTAAAATATAAACTTAATATGAGCAAAATCCTAAGGACTTTATAAATGTAATTTTATTGCATTTATCTCTACAGCTGAAATTAATTATGCAGAGTGTTCATTAAAAATAAGCTTTGGTAAGTGACATTTTAAACAGGCATTCAGGAGTGATTGCAGGAAAGATGGTGATAAAGAAAATGTCTGTAAGGAAGTGTAAAATTCTTGAACATTTGAAACTGGCCTGTAAAAACTTCAAGCTATTTGGACAATTTGGGAAATGTAATGAGAACGCGTATTGCTGCTAGTCTGGGGAGACTGCCAACATTGCCACGGATCGGTATTTTATCAAGTATTTGGTGTGGTTTTTTTAAAATGTTCAGTGCTGGCATTGAGAAAATAGAAGTTGACTTTTTTTTGATAAGAAATGTGCAGGTTTTTTCCTCTTGACAATGGAGACAGTTTTGAAAAAGTGACTCTGAAAGCATCATAAACCCTTGTATTTCTAGATAGCAACTAAAAAACCCCAAGAGAATCCCCCCCATTTATTGCTTAATACAGTTTGAACTTCACATACACATGCAAAGCTGTAGGAAGTACACTCTGTACTTGTCTATGATGAGACAAACGTCTTCCAGAGCTTCTCAAGGTTTGCAATCCAACAGATCGTTGGCAGTCCGTGAGGAATCCCGTTTGTTGCTAGCAGCAGATGCAGTTACTGTAAGAGGGAGGCAGGGCATTAGGCCATGGGGCTTTTTGTATCCAAAAAACCTGTGGTCAACCTTTTTCTGTGCCAGAGTTGAGATCCATTTATTGTTAACTCTTGTGACAGTTTCTTGTCTTCCCCTTAGGTCCTAGTGATGGATATTGTAGGGCTTAAGGTCTTCTGTAGACACGTGAATATTCAAGCAAGCAGGCACTCCATTACAGATGAAATAAACAGGGAGCTGCTGTCATCAGATTTGTTTAATTTGTGTTTCAACAATTAACCAAGGAATATAGTTAGGAAAAACAAGTGTTGTGATGTTGGACCAGCAAAAACAATAGTGGACTATTTACTGTGGGAAACAAAGAAAAAGAAAAAAGCCACCTTTGCCACTAAAACACATTTTCTTCTAAGTTCTCTCCTGAAGTTTACCTTGAGCACAGTGTAAACAGTCTTAAATATCAAAACCATGCCTTGGAAGATTGAGTAATGGTGTAGGGATAATGGTAATAATCTCTGAAACCAAATTAAATGATAAACTGAATGCTGGAGACAATTATTTACTTTCTATTTTTCGGTATTATAGTGTAGGCTTAGTGAGTTTTTTCTATGGAACGCTTCTCTAGTTGTTTCCTTCTACATTGTCATCGTAAGTGATAGAGAAAGCTTTCTGGTTTCTCACACACTAAATGCTTTTCTGTTGTTTGTTTTAGATTTTTTTTTTTTTGTATGTGAAATGTGCACAAGAAGTAGTTTAGTCTGCTCATTATTTAAAGTCACAGCCTGTCCCTGTTCAGCTCTGGTACCCCATGTACCACTCTTGTCTCCCTGCCCTCCAAAAGCCCCCAGCCCTGGAGAGCAGTACATGTTTTTAACTAAGCTCATCATCCAATTTTGCAATAAATACTTTTTTTTTTCCCCTAGGAATTATCCTACTAAAAATGGTGCATTACTATAGAAGTTGGCCATAGTATCTTTGAAAATACTCTCAGATTTTTTCAAAACAAGAATTTGGTGGAGCTGTGATTTGCAGACTTCCTTCTGTGTTTCTTGAGTTGATGAATTCTTTGTTGCTTTGCCAGGGGTTGTGGACTTTTATATAATTCCATTGAAGCCGTCCGTCCTCTGAAAGAATTTGAGTACTTGAAATAGTACAGATGTCAAACTCGATGGATTACCGGCTTTAGCATTTGATACATAACAGCGATGCTGGGAGAAAGAGCAAGGCTTAGAGTCAGTCCTTAGATGGGCTATTTAAACCATGAGACTGTGTTAATGTATTATTTATATGGTTTGCTCCTTTACATTCCATTTTCCTCTCTGATTTTTTTTTTCTTGCAGTGTTGTCCCTCAAACCACAGTAATACTGAACAACGACCGGCAGAATTCCATCGTAGCCAAGATGGTTGGGCAGGAAGAGCCATTGAGCAGGACAGCGGATTCTCTGGAAAATATCCTTAGCAAGTTAGTAGCAGTTGTGGAATCCTCCCCTTCGTTCCCTCCTTTGACAGATCAGTGTCAGTCTCTGGAGCAATTTGAAGTGCAAAATGGGGCATGTTTGAGGTAATAGTGGGGGGAAAAACGTTGGACTGGCACTTGAATATTTTATCAGGCTGACAGTTCTGCCTAGGGAAACCTCGTATCAGCACTAAAGGTACTTCACTCTTGATGGGGAGAGAACATCTTGGAGGATCTGGGATTAGTTCAATGTTAGTTGACAGCTGACAGTTGAGAGAAGGAGTGCCCAGAGCTGCATATTTTTCACATGGATGCACGATCACTTGGGAACATGCCAAGATCCTGTATTTAACCAGCTGAAGAAGGAATATGCAGCAGCCCAGTAAGGCTTGTTAGAATTTGTGCTGTCTAAAGCAAATTTTAAATTAAATGAAACTGGATATTCTGGGTAGAAGATGTTCTTAAATAATGTTTTTATAAATTGTTTAAATGTTTTTTTGTTTTGCAGACTGGGCCTAGACTTTTCCATGAATGTGAATTTAGACAGTGTGCATCTAAATTTTTTTTTTTTTGCTGGATAGCTCTTAGTTATAAACAGGAGTAGGCTTCTTTAAAGGCATATGCTTTTATAATACATTTAATTTAGTCAATTAGTGTTTTTAATTTCTTTTTAATGATGCTATTCCTGATCAAGGATTGTGTTTACCCAAAGTTTTGTACTTTTCTTTTCCGTAGTGCTGTTCCTGGACGTAGGCAGAACACCATAGTGGTGAAAGTTCCAGGGCACGACGACAGTCACAATGAAGATGGAGAGAGTGGCTCTGAGGCCAGCGACTCAGTTTCCAACAGTGGACAATTAGGAAGCCAAAGTATTGGGAACAACGTCACGCTTATTACACTGAACTCTGAAGGTACGCTGATCTAACTATAAGGCTACTTGAGCAAAGTAAATGTGGTGGTGGAATGAACTAAGATTCAACTGGAAGCTTCAGAGATCATATTGTGGGTCCAACCTTGAATTGTTTGGCGGTACGGCAAGCATCAGCTAGGAGTGAATGAATCTGAATACCTGAATGAATCATTTGGTTGTTTGGTGGTTTGGTTTTTTTCATTTTTTACTAGTTTTTCTGGCAGAACAACTAATTAAAATGCCCTGTAAAATTTTAAAAGTATGCCCTGCTATAGCAATGTAGCTTTAGATCTTAAACTCTTCGAATTAACACACGCAACCTGCAGAATGTCCTGTCACCGAGCTGAAGTATTGCTTCAGGAAACTAAATGCCTTCTCTGGGAAATAAAACACACTAGTCCGTCCCCTCCTAGAACTTATTATACCAGCCCACTTGTGTAATTCTAATGAATGTAAAATTGTTATTTTTAACAACTGTAAATGATTTTTATAAGGAAATTCGTATTAAAAACAGACCTAACAGGATAGCGTGTAGTGTCAGATTTTTCTGAAAATTCTTTAGGTCTTGAACACAGAAATGAAGGAGCAGAATGCACTTAGGAGGTGACCTCTGTACCTAGGAGGTAAATGTGTTGCCTTTTTGATCTCTAATATTGAAACAGAAGGACTCTAATTCGGGAGTGATTCAGTTTCTTCTGCATGATCTCCAGTCACTGGTATAAGTATGCAGGGTGTGAACAGGTCAGGATACAATTAGTGGTAAGAATTAATTCAAGACAGCCTGAAATTGTTTTTTTAAGAATGCGTTCAGAGATTTCAGAAGTGACTAACAATTCAAGATACTTTAAAACATAGAAAACTTCAGAAATCACTCTACTGAAAGTCTCATGTACCAAAGATTTTTTCTGAAAACGCTGTTGTAAGGGTTTTAAACCTGGGATTCTTTGACTTTTATGGGCACTCATGCAACATACACATATTAGAAAGAGCTTTTAGGTTCTGTCCTGCATGTATGTTGTGGCACAGAGTTGCTCCTGAAGGGTGTTTAATTTTGGCTCAACGGGGAATTAAAGGAGACTGAGGCTCTCTGAGGAGTTCCTCTCAAAAATAAATGATCGGATTGCAGAGGGTGCTGGTGTTTTAATGTGAAAATACATATGATCTTTGTGGAGTCTGTTAATATTTCATACAGCTCTGCATCAGCTATGCCAGGAAAAAAGTTTCTAGCGTTAGGAGGGTATTTGTTGTGTAATGCCCTTTTTGACTTGGTGGTTTGGCAGAGATTTGCACAGACAACTGTG